ATATTTAAAAAATAGTTTCTTCTTTTGCTTAGCATTTACGTCAGAACAAAGTATATTTATTTAATTTTCCCCCAATGTACGTTAAATCATTATAATGCGGATCACTAATCAAATTCTCTTTTCCTTTTCCATTGTTGTTTAACCGATTATGGTAAAGCATTCCAGCGCTGTCTGAATTAGGGGTGGGATGCTTTTCTGGTGGAATTTTTTATGGAAATAATTTCTGTTTACCTTACATATAGGATAAATCACGAAAATTAGAACCCGATTCAAATTACCAGTATTTAGCGGTCTTGTCAACTTTACCGCTGGTGGTCCTCTTTTTACTGTAAAGCATATTCATACTGAAAGTTTTTTTTTTTTTTTTTTTTTTTCAAAATTGACGAAATTAGGGATAGTGATTTTTTGGAGTTCTTTAATTTAATGTAATGATTTATTAATTTCGGTTTCTGAATTTCCTGGCTTAATATAAAATGCGAGCAAATTTTTTTTTTTATATTTATTCTGTTATAATACATGCAAGATTTTCCAATAACTGTAACAACTCTTACATGCATCACCAGAAGGGAATTAATATGAAAGTTTTATTCACTTAGTTCGCAGCCTAAATTCTGCCCTCAAAGACCACCAACTTCACTTCGTGGCCGTGCCCTTGAAAAGAGAGACACTCGGAACTCTTTAATTTAGTTCTAGTGCATTGGGTGTTTCGGGAAGATGGCATTCACATTACCCCTTAGAAGTGGTTTATGGGGAGAGGGACCGGAAAGCCAAGATCTGCATACCAAATCAATTCTTCATTCCTAATTGGAAAATTTAATATCCTTTTAAGTGTCCTGCTAATGGCTCCTTTCCCAAAAAGAGAGAGAGAGAGATGAACATAAAAAAAATGAAATACAGGATAACCAAAAAAAAAAAAAAAAAAAAAAAATAGAGAGACAAAAAATTAAGAAACCTTCCTCTGCCGTTTGACTTTGGAATCGCTAAATAATGGGGCTAGAAATTTATGAACATTAATCTTTTATTTCGCTATTATTTATTTTTTTCTTTCATTAGTTGGGTATAAAAATCCCTTTTATTTAATTTTCGCACTCGAATGCTCCGTATTGCCAAAGTCAATTCTCCTCTTCTCCCCTTTTAACCAAGCAGCTCAGCGAGTATTAGAAAAGCATCAATTATCATGGTCTCTGTATTCAGTAGGAAATTCAATTTTAGAGTGCATTCCGTTCTTCGCTGGATTTTGTTGCTTGTTTTGGGGTTAAGCTTTTATTTGATTTATGCGGCTTTTGAAAATGCTTTTAGTGCATTTAGTGAATGATGAAATAATTTTCCGAAAGAGCATTTCCGAGTACTTAGTCGTTAAAGGTGAGTAACTAACTTGTAATTAACTAAGCTAGGAGAAAAGTCATTATTAGAAATTTAAAGTTTCTCAAAAATGTGTATTTTGTATTAGTTGAAGGAATTTGTAATTGGAAGTTTTTAGCTTTAAGATATAAGCTGTAACTTAATTTATTTCATTAATTAGTCTCATCATGTTATGCATAATCTAAGAAACGTGCATAAGATTTTATAAATTACTTGAAATTATTATGAATAAAAATATTCTTCTGAGTATGCACATTATTTCCACAAATATTAAATTTTGAATAAATAGTTTTACTTACTTTTCCCTGGAAAATTTTCACAGCAGCTTTATTATGTATAGCTTTTAGGGAATTTTTCGTAGATTTATCATTTTATAGCGTTTCAAAATGCCCTTTTCTTGCGCATGATTTCTTTTCGACATAAGCATACGAATAAATCATCAGAATTATATTATCCCAGATGAATTTCCATTCAAGCTTCCTTATACTAATTTAACTTAAAAGAGCTGTGCGTGCTTATTTGCCAGTAATATATGATATTTTACCCGATAAATTATTCATATTTTCTAAACTCCAAACGATTACATATCCACTACAGTTTTATTTCATATTTCAAGGTGATATATATATATATTTTTCGGAACTTATACCAGAAAGCAATCGCAAATTGTCTATTATGACATTCTAAGCCTTTAGTTCCATTTTTCAGACCTATTTTATTTCCACTGAAATCTAATACTGACAGATTTCGGGAGGATTCGTAGAGGTTAGGAAACTTACTCTATAAAAGTAATTCCCAAAACCATATCAGCACTTTATATTTTGTATTTGCTCCTTAAGTATGTTCACTAAATGTACATACGTGTATCATAAAGAACAATGAGAGCTTCTATTTCCGATTACCTCGAAAAGCATTTTAAGAAACTTAGATAAGACATTAAAGTCACCTACAAGTTTCTGTGTTTTTTTCCCCCAAATATCGTCACTATACATTTACCGCAAAGTTCTATGAGAACTTTACATCCTTGAAAAATATCTTAAGCCATTTGAATTAAGCTTTTAAGCCATTTAAAAGTTTCTATTTGCTTTATTTTGAATATAATTTTTACTTTTTAGAAAAAAGGATAATTTTTAAATATTATTTTGGAAACTATGTGTTAATTATTTGTATTTTAAGTTATTTATATTTCTTTAAATTACGAAAAATGATAGTTACTCTTGCGTTTAGTATGTTTATAAGTAGGCTTAAGAACTAACTATATGCAATTAGCATTTTAAAAAGTTACAGATATTAAGATGCATTAGAATTCCACGAGTTGAATTAATGCTATAAACACTTTCACACATGATTTATCATGTGTGAAAATGTTTATAGCATGATTTTTATTGATTGTTTGTAGCATGTGTTTATAGCCTGATATTTATAGATTATAGATTATTATGTTTTAACCGTAATAAATTATGGTTAAAACATCATGCCTATAATCTGATAAATACAAAAAGCAGATCAAAATCAAGGCATTTTTAGTAGGAGATTAATTATAAATCAAAATTTCTTTATATCCAGTCATATAGAAGCCTACTTAATTACTTCGTAGGAAAATAATTTTTAAAAGTCGATAATGGCATTTTACTATCTTAACATAATCATAGAAATCTAAGGAAATATTCAACGGCTTAGATCACTAGGTCATTTTTAGATCTTGGGATTAGTAAGATCTTTTTCCGCCATACGAAGAAGATTTCAGTTGATAATTGACCTTGCCCAGTCTTCATTCTCGCTTCAAGTAGTCTTTACCATTATTGCATGTTTAGTCTCAGATCAGTCAAGAGTCATTAAAATTGATTATATGTATTTTTACTAAGCTATTTTTAAGCTTTTTACACTATTTGCCTTTTAAGTTAGATGTATGCAACTTCCTGAGAAAAGTGAGATAAACTTTGAAAAAAATAACTAACTAACTAAAAAGTCAAAAATAAAATGGATAGGAAAGAGAACAGTAAAGGATATGCAGTGTTATAAAGTCTTCGCTTTCTTAAATAACCGGAAAATTTTTATATCAAGTAAAATTCCACACCATACCGAGATTTTATCTGTTACCCGAGACTCATACTTTCCCAAGCTACACGATCGCAAATTGAGAGCGAGATAATTTGTTTTTACTGTAAATTATAAGAGGTTATTACTAAATTTAACTTAAGTAAGTTTTCTTCGGTACATTTATTTATCCTTGTACGAAATAAAGATATTTATTTTATTTTATGCTCCAGAAAGTTTATATTACTCAAAATTTTTTAAAATTATTACTGTATCTTCCGGCGTATAATGAACACTTTTAATACAAAAAATAAGATTGAAATTTACGGGTGCGAGTTATACCCGGATACATAAAAATGATAAATTTAAAAATAAGAAAAATATAAGCATACGGAAATTAGATTTCTACATAGATCTAAGCGCTGTTTATTTAAAAGAAATGACATAGGTAACTTAAAAATTTTCAGTATCGAATAATATGAAAAATTTATCATATTTTTCTTCCGTTATATCTTCAGGCACATCATCGAATTCTGTTTCATTTTCCCCATCACTGTTATTTTGATCTATAAACAAATACTCATCTTCCGTTCCATTTTGATTATTAGAAACACTACATTTTTTTAAAAATTACTTTTCAATTACATCGGGTTTAATTTCATTCCAAGCTTTTATTATCCACTCACACACTATTTCTAGATTGGCATGACACATTTGTCTCGCTTTGTAAATGTTTTTCCACCTTGCAACATCCACGGATTTTATTTTATTTCAAATTTTCTTTGAATGTTTTATTGATACATACATCTAAAGGCTGAACTAACGGGGTTAATCCACCTGGAATAACAGCTAATATAAATGTCAGTATTACACTCTTCCACCATTTTCTTCGTATAATTCGTTAAATGGGATTTGAACATGTTCCAGACTGAAATGCTTTCTGTAAATCAACAGTGTGCTTTTGCCAAACCTTTCCTATGCATAGTTTCACGCTGTTTGCGTCCATACATACTTTCTCCTGAACATGAATGAAAACAGCATTTGGAACATTTTGGCTTTGTCTTTCTATTTAAAATAACCATAGGTTTTAATTTTTGTACCGTCCGCTAAGCTAGAAAGCACTACGACGAGGTGAGACTTTTCGTGACATGTTGTTTTATGTAAACCGGTTTTGTGCCTTTCGCATCAATCACACATCACTCCTTATCGATTGTAAATCCAGTATACCATTGTTCGAAGGCCTGGTAAAAATCTTCGAGTAAACGAAGAGTAAAAAGAGTTCTTAAAAAAATAGAGAAATAGAAGAAGAGTTCTTAAAAAATAAGAGCTTTGCACGTGCATCTTTCGCATTTCTTCGCAAAGAAAAGGGTGCGCGTTAAACGGCGGATATGTCTAAAAGTTTAAAAAGTATAGTTTGAAATTATAAGTGGGCGTTATACACCTGTGCGCGTTATACGAAGTATACGGTATGTATCTTCAGATAAGTCTTTAACCTTAGTTTCCTTTTAAGATTTGCATGCTCATTAATCATAAAAAAATTGTTTTGAATAAAAAGATTTATTGATCGTGCAATTGCTGACTGTCCTTTCCATCTGTTGCAGAATCCCTGGCCCAGGAACTCGAAAGGGAGAGGAACGCAAGGGCAGAAGCGGAGCATAAAATGCAAGGTCAGTATCCTCTCTCTATTTTTTTTTGAGCGCAGAAATGCATCCATCATTCATCTGTCATCCCATGAAAACAATTTCCGTATATTTGGATAAAATTTCACAATAAAAAGAAATCATTTTGTGCATTAGCTCTCATAGACATCTGTGAATGAACATCAAAAGACTTCAATTTTTCTTAATTTCAACCAGAATGCTTCATCTTAGCAACGTTAGCAGACGCGTTAATAGTAAAATAGCACATAGAGTAATATCCGTTCTACCTGCAGTCTAACTGCGAAACTAAATCCTGACTGATATACTGTATCACAGACGGCCTACTCTATATATAAGCCATCGTATAGGCCTAATAGTAATTTAAGAATATTTAATGTTTTTCGTTTAACTGAAAGTTTACCTCGATTTCATTTTAACGTCGGTATTTTGTAAGGATTCATTTAGTTTGATTAACCAGCTATTTTATGTTAATCTGCTATTCTGCTCTTCTCGTTTTCCATGTTCCTGCCAAAATGTAAATTTCCAGCTGGCGTGTATTCAAATGAGGCAGAAAGTAGTATTTAAAGGAAGGTCTTATAGAATCAGAGCGTGTTCCGTCTGCTGAAGGCCACGTTGCAAATTTGATTTTCTTGAAAGCTATATTCTGAGGCGTTTCATTATTATTCTCGTCATTTAGGCTTGTCATGCGGACTTTAGATCAAGGCCAACTTGCGCGTTTCTTTATCTGTGTAGTCTTTGGGCTAGCTTATATTTACTTATTTAAGACAAATTCATTATTGTTTATTCAAGCCATTAATGCTGGCTATTCTCTAAGCATGGTCGTTTTCTTCTATGTAACTTTTATTTGAGTTCAATAAAAGAGCCTTTTACACCCTTTCTCAGTCACTGTGGTACCTTACAAGAAATAGTGATAATTCACTTCAGGTCTTAGAAGTTTCGTATTTTTGATGCTTCTACAGAGGACAAAAATTCATACTGGCGTCCAAACGTTAAATATTACTATGCCACGAAAAAAAAAAAAAAATCAGCCTTTAGTTTGACCCTGCTCAGCATCGCAAGTTGGGTCTGACTCAAAGTCAGCGTGACAAGCCTAAATGGCGAGAATAACGCAACGCCGCAGAATACTACTCTTAAGAGAGACGAATTAGCAAAGTGATCCTCAACCGCTCTAATTCTACCCTCTAAAAATCTGCTTTTAAGTATATTTCGACCGTCTATAGCGCAACCCTGGTTGGCATTCTGCCAAAACCCATAGATTCGTCCAAAAGGGGCGGTATTACTTGCTGCGACGTGAAAGGTCTTCTCTTCTCCGAAAAGAGTTATGCTGGAGGGAAAGAATGTCCCCATCCTTTCGCCCTATTTTGAGAATAATTCGGTCCGAATGGCGCATGCGTGTTTGCGCTCGTGGTCGCGGATGAGGTGGTCGAACTATACTATCTCCTTTCTATCTCATCTGAACGCACACGAGCTAGAAATTTATATTCTGGCAGGAAAATGGGAAAGAAAAGGATTCAAAAGCAAATTGACATAAAGTAACTGGTTAGTGAAACTAAATAAATCCTTACTAATTTTTCTAAGAAGACAAAGCTGAAAATTTTATGTTTCACATTATTCCTTATTATCATATTTTACTATTTTAGAATTAAAATATTTGTCATATGATTCACTAACTTTATTAATTAAAGTAAATTATATTTTAAACCGTATAAAACTATCATAAAAACGTTTTTAGTTTGCAGATTTTTAGAAAAGGTTTACATTGTAGTGTATTCACCAAATGGAACTTTGCGTTAAATGTTTGCTAGATAAGTTTCTAATTATTTAACCTCTGAAATGTAATGAGCATTTAGCTCACGAATGCTTTTTAAAATAGTATTCATTTTTTTAAACAAAAAGAAAATAATTCGTTATATACAAATCACGTGGTATTTTTTTTTCTGTAATTTTTAGTTGTAAATTTTAGTTTCAAAACCTGGAATTGTTTTGTATTATTACAACTTTCGCAAGAAGGATAATAATTTCGCTAATATATTATAATAATTTTCCTTGGGACTTATATAACAGATCTGTAACCTAATGTATTTTTTGGTAAAGTATCATTTAGAAATCAGGCAGTCTTTTGAGACAAGCGTAGTTTTTGGTATTTCGCTACATTTCTGTAGAGGATGAATCGAAATACCGTAAACAACTTTTCGAGATTAGGTTGCAGCCCCTTTTATCAATCACTCTAATTGTAATCACTGAAATATAAGGCTCCGCAGCCATTTCGTTTAGATGACCGTAGCTTGAAATATACACAATGCTTTCTTTGAAACGCTTGTACACATTTATGCAGTATCCTCATGCAACTGCAATTAGCAACCTCGTGAATTCTCGCCATCCAACAAAGAACTTCTTCGCAGAACAACTATCCTCTCTACACTCCTTGCATCAGCACCCCGATCATTTTCTCCAGATTATTAATAAAGATTTCTGCCCTCTTCTAACAAATGGGCTGTGTCACGTGGTGTGGACACTTGTCGCATTCCTCATTCTGTATTCGCCCATTTCGAAGGGACTGAGTAATCACCAGTGAACTATTAAGGGAATTTCTCCTCCCGACCCAAAATCTTGAGGCGCGAGTTGGATTTTCCAACTGCTGCGCGTTTCTCGAAATTTCTCGGCCTTTTCTAATAATACGCGGCCATTAATCAAAGATTCCACAAACGGCTTTTATGCCTTAATTAGCAGGAGGGGAATAATTCTTCGGCCTGGGACCCTGAAATGAAAAGGCTAATCGAAATTAAGATACTTAGAATTGTTATTTAAGCGTTAAACTTTCGACAGTTAAAAAGACTTTAATTGCTTTACTATTGCTAAAAAATGAACATCTGTCTTTATTTTCATTTTGTCAGAACTATGGGGTAGGTTTTTACCATTAAATTATATTTAAAATCGAGAGGATTTGCAATAAATACGACAAAAGAAAAAGTTTCATACAATGAAAACTTTCATAGATTCAGCATTTATAGTTATCAAGAATGCTTCTAAGAATACCACCCAGAAGACATGCATTTTACGCTTGCTGAACTTCAGTATGCCTTAACACTAAACAGAAAGTAAAAATGTGGTTTCAATACGAGGCAATTACTCCTCAAATAATGTTGGCCTGTTCTGAAAAAAAAAAAAAAAAAAAAAAAAAAAAAAAAAAAAAAAAAAAAAAAAAAAAAAACAGGGGGCTAGCAAGCTACGAGTCGTGTTCGATAATACTCATATTTTTTTTGACAAACAATCTTTTCTGGAATGACAATTATCAAATCAAAATAATCGAAGAAGAAATCATCTAATGCGGCACTATTAAATATTCTTAAGATTCAGACCGGAGAGGATGTGGTTTACTGCTAAGACAATTTCTCAAATTCATTCACATTAAATGACATTTCGAGAGATTTTTCAAAGACCTTTTTCTCTCAAATTACAAGCATAATCACTGGCGTTTGAGTGAGGTTATTAATAATATGTGTATTTTCATATTTAAGCATAAAACACGGCTATAAAAACAAAAATTTAGCTCTGTGATTATAAATTTTATCATTTGGTGGCTCCTCAGTTCGTTTTAATTGGATACAAGTGTTATGGAGTGAAAAAAAAAACGACTAAGCTGTAAAAGTGTTTATTATTTAACATACATTCTTTTCCATATTAAGTTATTATTTTATTTCAATACGACCCTCAACAAGTAGATAAAGTAGTTAAACTACTTATTATTTACTCTTCATGATCATACTTGTTTTCATGCTAATATTGACATCGAGAACTTATGCATTGTATCCCACGATTACGAAGCTATTGTACACATTGTCTCCAGAACAGCGACCATAGATGGTAAGTCTCCTGCTTTGCATCACAGTTGCAAAAGACACAGTCTTAACCCCATATACCACCATCTTCATCCACCATCAAGTAGATGCCGTGCGATGACGATGAAAGGGCTTTTCCGCCCTTAACAAAAGGTATCCTGACATGCAACGGACACGGATATATCCGAATCATTCTTGACGTGGCCGTTGCAGCATTCGGCGATCACACGCTTGCCACCATTCTGACGGCCAGACTCACTACAGGAGCTCATTAATCATATCACCGATCTTATGCGTCATACAATGTATGGAAACGACGGAGGGTTTGTACGGGGAAGAACAATTGGGGAGACATTAGGTTGAACATCTTGCCACTCAGCTCTTAAAGATGACAGATAAGTTAGTCAGTTGGCGGTAGTACTGGAAGGAAAAAAAATCAGCTTAAAGCCCTACAGTAAGTAGTAAATACACTGAAACAGTGTGACAGAAATGTCATATTTAATCGTTTTCCAGTTAAATCTTCGAGCAAGTTTTGCGAGATACACAAATGATATTTCATGTTGACGTCCATCATTTGTTCAGTCATATATATATATAACCAAAATTTTAATGCGACTTACTTTTCGTTTTATTTTTAGGTGTTTATTTTTAGAGTTTGTAAATCAAATAATTTTTTGCCTATTAATTTTATATATACATGCATAAGTCAAGCATTACTGTAGTTATTTATAGATTTTAATAAGAAATAACAACATTCATTCAAATTAAAATGGGAAACGAAAGAACGGTTTATAAAAATAAAATTATAAAATGTGAAGTCAGAAGCTTTTAAGCCTAAATAAAGAAACTTTATCTTATTTTATCCTTGAGAAAAATATTCCCAGTAATCAAGAATATGTCGTTTTATGTGAATAACTATGTTTCAAGAAATATATGTATGAAATTTATGAACTTTTAAAAGGTCTTTACTGATGAAATATAAAACATATTTTTGTATTTATTATTATTTTTTATGAACGGCCAACTCTTATTAAAATGAATTTGATTAGGAATTAATATTTCTGATTTGAAAGTTAATTGAGGAAAGTGCTTAATAAGATTTTTACAAATAATTTGCTTAAGATTAATGTCTTAAATGCAGTTCAGCTGTTCATCTGACGGTAAATA